ACATGTAAACCGTTTACAATCGTTTCGCGTTTATTATACCCAACTACGGAACGCCGACGATAGTTACACACAYCTATCTATTACATTTGAGATTATAATAATATGTTATGTGTTTATTTTTAAACGAAAATGTACCGTTTTTTATAGCAGATTTTGATTGACGGACTAGATAAAAAAAATATATGATRTATTTACGAATTGCTGCACAGATTATCACAGATTTTTTTTTACAGCGAAATAATATGGTAAATACTAAAATACTAAATAAGTACTTTTTCATATACAATATACATGGTATCATTGCATAGGCACCTACCGACTACCATGGTTATCTAGGTATAAGGTATATAACCGTGGTATATATCTATAAACATTAAACATATACCTAYACTACATTAATTGCAATAAATTCTGATATGGTCGGAAGAACAGTCGGACTGCAAACAAAACGAAAGGTCTCTGTTTAATTGCTATATGGACAATTATAAATGCATTACKGATTTAAATATATACACAAATTAGCATATACGCACCTATGTACAAAACCAAAAACTTCATGATGCTGTGTGCTAAGGGCATACCTATAATAATATTCAACTGTAGGAACTTTTGTTTACATCGAATTATTACTATGTTATTTTTCTCGTATTAAATTGTCATTATTCGAGTGAGTTAAGCACTGCATAATAATAAATTACGACAAAATTACGTTAATAGCGGATTCTATTTAATAGGTACGTGAAATTTTTCCTAAATGTATGTATGTACCTACCTACAAAATGAACGGTGTGGCTGAGCTAGGTAAGTTTCTAACTCAAGTTTTATGATATTGTATATCACTATATTTTTACTAATGGTTTAATTTATATGATGATAACCAATAATTATTATATTTACTCTGAAAGATTATTTTTAAATTTATAATATGCGTTAAAAGTTTAAAATATTGTAGTGATGTTGCAAGGCGTGCATAAAATAAAATTAGAAATTAGAATATACTTGATAAATATATCTAAAGGTTCGTCTAAAATTTTATTTCCAATAAAAATATAATTGATGAGTATTCTATATTTGATACGTTAACATTTTTGACAAAATTTTCAGGTTTTAAATCGTCAGATAAAAATGATAGACAAAAAATTGATTTATTAATTTTTACTTTTGTTTTTGTTGCCTCTTAAATCAGTTATTGAGAGTTGAGACACGAACTGTCGACGTTTCAGTGCATTTGTACAAATAACAATTATTCGGATGTTGTATACCTATACTTTAAAATCAGGTGTATTTAATACCGATTTACCTACTAATAAATTGTCTATAGTGATGCCCATTGCCCACCAGTTCCCAGAGCAAAATACAATATTTATAATTTAAAACAATAGATGAGTACCACGTTAGAATGCATTAGCAACAACTAAATAATAAAATATTTTGTAGAACATGCAAACGTTAATTTTAGTCTTGCAAGGTAAAATGCCTAACSCACATACTATATATTTCAATTAATGATATTATATATGTAATTCATCCACTTCTATTACTTGATAATCATCATTATATACAAGACATACAATATAGACAGTTTTATTAATTTATTTATCGCTTGTGTAGTTGTATAATACTTGAAAAAAAATGCTTTTAAATATTTTTTATACTTTTTTCATAAATCACGAATAATAAAATATCTATAATTATTGCTTAATTAGGTAGGTAGCTATTTACATTTTACTGTCATATAATAGGGAATAGTAGTATCTAAACCAATATACTAAAACGAAAGCTACCCAAGGTGTTAAGATGAATATTACATGAATATCTATTCATTAGTCATTCTCATTTCATATAATTTTAAATAATTTAGTATATGTACATAAATTCAAATTCTGTGTTTCTAACAACTTTTTTTTTACATTTATAAATTAGTAGATATTATGTGCAACAGTGCAATAATAAATAATTAAATAATTCAGTTCAAATGATTTAATAATCGAACAATTAAAAAAAAAGTTAAAGCATTAATTCAGGGATGATGCATTTACATCAAATTTCTAAGTAATTTTATAGTCAACATTATCATACTCGATTAATTGAATAACTAAAATTGATTAAGACTTTCACATTCCGAGATAAAAAAAAACCACTTTAAAATGTATCTACTTTGAGTTAGTAATTATATCGTATCGTAATAATATTGTATTAACCTGTAAATGTATGATTTCACTTACCCACAAGTACAAATTTCGCAAATGCATTGTTCTTTCGATGTTGAATTGATTTCCTTTTCATTTCTCGCCCTCTTGTCTACTTTATTTTCTCGGACCTTTTTCGATGAAGATACGTGGTTTTCATAATTTTCGGTCATACCATTTACTACTGATTTTTCCACAACCACTTCGGAAATTATTCTATTTTCTACTACTTCTGCATGATTTGAAACAGACACGAAGTCGGTGATATCTTGAACAACAATGTTGTCTCTTACATCAATATTTCTAACAGGCATTTCAGGATAATATTCCGACGTGTTCGATGTTACTTGAAAATCTTCAACCATAGATTGTTCCGAAAACTGTCGAGACTCAATGTATGATTCTTCGGAAAAGTCATAAAATACATCGTGAACGTGTTTAGTGTCGTTCAACGACGTAATATAATTACTGTCCAAAGGCACAATGTCCGCATTCGTTTTATCTGGAAAATCAGATTTTGGTTTCCGGGTAGTCCTTTCGGGTGTTTTAAAATTTGATGTCATTTTCCCACCAACAATAATCGTACTACTTTCATTACTAGTAGAAATGGTATTTATTACTTCATTATTTGATAATGATTCATCAATTATATAAGTTGTATTTAAAATTTGAGAACTAGTATCTAAATTTACATCAGTGCGTTGGCTGTTTAAATTAGTAGTCATTATATTAGATGTGGAAGTATTTTTTACAACATTTTGAGACGGCTCTTTAAAAGTTTTGATCAATTTTCCACCGACCATGCGTACCGACAAGCCTTCTTCGTCGACATTATCAACAGTAGATTTTGGTTTAGACTTATCTATTTTAGCGTCTGGTCGTTTCTTGTTTTTTGTTACATCTGGTCGATTAGTTTTTTGATTTTTAGAATTAG